TCGTCTCAGTGTTTCTGATTCTTAAAGGTGCACTACAGGGTTTTGGAAGAGAAATGTGAAAGTTGGAGAAATTTACAGATTCGGTCGTATATGTGAATAACTCTACACACAAACTGTCCTCAGAGTGCCTGGAACACTGTTTCACATCTCCAACTTTCAAATTTCACTACAAAATCTACATAGTGCACCTTTAATGCAAACTATTTTGTGAAGAAAAAATAAATAAATTTAACTGGACAAATTAATAAATTGTGTTTTCGTTTCAGGTATAATTTGTCACAGTGCATTTAGTGAGCTCATAAGGTTTTTGTTTTCTGCTGAATCAAATCAGGCTGCATGTTGGTGCAATGTAAGTGAGGAGGTTCTGGTTTGAATCCCTGTCTGACAAGAGCCTCTCTGTGAGGAGTTTGCATGTTCTCCTCGTTCATGTGTGGGTTCTCTCCTGGTACTCCGGCTTCCTCACACAGTCCAAAGACATGCTCGTTAGGTTAACTGTTGACTCTAAATTCCCTTTAGGTGTGAATGTGAGTGTGGCTGGTTGTCTGTCTCTATATGTCAGCCCTGTGATTGGCCGGAGATCAGTCCAGGGTGTAACAGCTGGAATCGACAGCCCCTGCAACCGGAAACAGGCAAGCGATTATATAGATAATGGATGAATGGAATCACAGATTTAAGTCATACACCTATTACATTAACTACAACATCCCAGCGTCTTTAGTGCATATCGCCTGACTCTCTCTCGGACTATGTTTCCCATCAACGTCACCTTCAATCAAGACTTACGATGCAAAAATACAAAACAAGCTATATAAGGCATTTTTCCTGCAGCTCTCTGTGTCTGCATCCAAGAAACATATTTCCTTTCGTGATCAGCGCTGGCTAGTTAAATAAAAAAAGGCTTACTGGAACCTAATGGAACCAAGCCAGTGTTAATTGCATTATTCCAACCTGTGCCTTTCCTCCTATAACAAGTCAGACATCTTATCAATTACAAGCACAACCTGCCGTGATGCAGCAGAACCTGCCACACCTGATCAGACTCAAACAGAAACCTAGTACTTTAAAGGTCTCATATCCTCCTCCTCTCTTCTTCAGTATAATAAGTCTCAGAACTCCTCAAAGCATGTGTGTGAAGTTTCTTGTTCTAAATCCACTCTGATCCTGTATTGATCATGTCTATAAACCCCTCTATTTCAGCCTTGCTCAGAACAGGCTGTTTATGTGTCTGTACCTTTAAATATGTAAATGAGCTGTGTCTGACCACGCCCCCTCTCTGGAAGGACTTGGGTGTACTCGGTCTTTCTTGCTCCATGTCCTATTGTTTACGGTGAGAAGGCAGACTCAGAGGGCAGAACAAACACCTAGCTGTGGGAGTGTCACCCACCTGGGGGAGGGGCTACTGCCCTTTGTGATGTCATGAAGGGAAAATCTCCAAACGGCCTGTTTGAGCACACATTTTCTGAAAAGTGGAGCAGGCAGAAGACGGAGAGGATGGACTTTTCGGACTAGAGACACGTTAGAGTTAGAGGAAAATGGTGAAGTGAATTTTGCAGATGTGACCTTTAAAATCAAGGACATATTACCTTTATGTTTTGGGGTCTAATTAACAAACAAAGAGGTACTAAAACTTTTGAAATGGCTTCATTACGGCCTGTTTCCACCTGGGGTTTACTCTCGGGCAGAAAACGTCTGTGTTCTCACAGACGCACTTGAATGAGCACAATCAAATATACACCAAATGTTACTTCCAAATTAGACTTATGTTTGAAAATAACAAAGTTTCCTACTTAAAATCAGCCTGGTCACGATTCTTGTCTCATGTACAAAGCAACCGAGTGGACCTGTGAAAGCCTCTACTTTCTCATCTTTTTATGCCCCAATGAAAAAAATCCAAATCAACAATTCACGTTTCACATGAACCAACATGTAGCTGGTGGTTTTAGACTCACCTCGGCCGTCGTTCTGGACGTCGGAGAGGATTTGGGAGTAGTTGATGGGCGGCTTGTTCTCTTCAAACTCTGTCGACGAGGGAAATGTTGATGCTCTTCAGCTCCGTGAACAAACCCTCCACTGCAAAGTAACACGGCCGATCATCCTCCTTGTTGTCGTTGAACATGAGCATCACGTGCTCCCGCCACCCAAAGTGCTCGCAGATCCGCAGGGCGAACTTCCCAAGCTTCTTGTGGGTGGGGCCTGTGTTGGTGATGGACGGGTAGACACCACCGTAAAAGGCCACAGCCGGGGCGCCTGCCGTCACCATGGGAACATCCCAGTGGGTGGTGAAGAGGCCGACGGGGGAGGCGGTGTAGGAGCAGCCGGGTCCGATGAACGCCCAGGGGTCGTAGGCGAATTTCAGGTCCACGGCCATGAGCGGGGCGATGGACTCGGAGCAGATGCCGTTTTTGTTCTCGCTGTTTTTGAAGGCGTAGACGAGTTGATGGTCAGGGAGCAGGGTGGGGTCGGCGTTGACATTCCTGACGGCCCTCTCCAAGGCGGGGCCGATGCGAGGCCAAGCCCAAGGATAATCTGTGTTGCTCTGCGGTAAGATGACAGCCAGTGTGATGTTTTGTTGCGGCCGGTGTTCATGATGCCCTCGAGCTTTCCTTAAGCTCCGGTGCCGAGGCAACCGCCCGCTGACCGGGCGCAGGACGAGCAGGAGCAGAAGCAGCAGGAGAGTGGTGCCATCTTTCCAACAAGCCATCCTCTCGCAGCAGGTCATCCACTTCCACCGCGGCTGAATTATTTATCCCGTTAACTGCGGATACACACAAGGGAGACATTAACAAAACATGCAGCATAAATGAAGTCTTGTTTTTATCTAGCAGGAACAATGAAGCGTACTTCCTCCATCAACTTAAAAACCAATAACAAAGTCAAGACTCCGAGACCTGCTTTGGACGGTCTCGGTTGAATTCACTGTAATAATTTGTAATAATAGTTTGCTTCATTCCTGAGTGGCCTTGGGGGCGTGGGAGAAAAACTCCCCGAAGCTGGATGATAGAGGACAGTAATGCTGCCCACATTATCCAGAAAGAACATTGTTTGCATTTTGAAGTGATAAGTGTTTTGTCAAGAGCAGCCTAACCTCAGGAACATCTCAGACAGGGGGAAGCACATTGTCATCCTGTCATAAAAATGAGCAATGACTGATTTAAAGGCGCTTTTAAGTCAAACCCAGATATGTTGACAGCCTGATAACTTCTTTGTATTGTCTGTTATCTATACCATCTACCTCAAGGTGGCAAACAAGTTATCAGCAAGTGGACGAGCAGACCAGCATCAAACAAGAGTCTGCTGCAGGAATTTTAGCAGTGAGAAAATACATTTTGAGTTCAACCAAAAGGTCACTTTGATTAACTCTCACTTTGTTTTCCACTGGCACAGAGGTGTAGAAATGTTTTGTGCATGCAGTTCTGTATTTTTAACTTTAATAACCTTTAATATGTCTCGCTCAAATTACATCAAAAGAACCAAATTATCTTCATGACTTCGAAAAATAATCTTGACCTGAAATGTTATGACTACCAAACTGAATTCAATGAAAAAAAAACGAGTCAAATAAGAGTCTCAACAGCAAAATGGTGACTCCATAAAACTTATTGAGGTAAATTAAAGGAGCAATATGCAACTCTGACCCCCTAGTGTTTAAAATGGGTACTGCAGTCTAAATTCAAAACCTTGTAGAGAGCTGTCTCATCTCCAATATTGATCCTAGTTTGAGCACGTTTCTGCTCGTGGAGCTTATTAGAAAATGGTATAATTTTATTCATTACATTTCTTACAGATTGCTCCTTTAAAGACTGTTCAACAATTTGAGTTAATTAATGTCGTGGCAGTATTTCGAGGACAGTAGAGTCGAGTGGCACACATTGTTTACGAGCCATTTATGAGTGACAGTAGTGACTGTGTTGATCTGCAGGGTAACTATTAACCCCTGCTATCAAAGTAAAACATGACGCATCTGCAATAAATCTAAAAACAAAGCGGTCCTCGAGTTCATATTTATCTGAATTGTTAAGCACTGAAGTGAAAGGGATGACACCGATGTTTTCTTCAAATGTTTTCGCTTTCACACATGAAGTCCTGAGGTTTTCATTGATAAAGATTTAGTCTCTATAGATCTCGAGACAACAGCTGAAAGAAATTATGGATCAGTATTACTAAACCAGGATTTAAAAAAGGCGAAGTCTCAAGAAAAACAACTGAAATTTACTCCTTATCACAGAAAACAGAGTTAAATAAAATGTGTTTATAGATGTCCTCTTAGGGCTTCCGTACATAAGTGTGTAGACATTCATTTCTCTGTGAAAAAGACTCAATTTCGGTTGTTTTCTCAAGACCTCGACTCGTTATTTCAGGAGTAGAACAGTGGTTTTCCCATGAAAAAGAAAAAGACCCTAAAAAAAATCCACAGAAATCAGCATTATGAAATAAATACATAAATAGGTTGAGACCTCAAGAAAATCCAAAATTGAGTCGTTATTTAAGTACTTTTGAGTGAAAGAACATATTTGGATGCAGGTCCTTTTATGGCTACACACACAGAAGAGGATGGGCCAGGCATGAGAAATAAATAATGAGAGGAGGAAGATTTGTTTCATAACTGACTTCAAGAAAAAAAGTTTAAATGTTAAGAATAAAGTCAAAAACAAAAGTCATTCTCGACACATCGACTTTATTCTCAAAATTAGATTTCAACTTTATTCTCGATGTTTCAACCTTATTCTCGCAAATGTATTTCAACTTATTTCTTGAAATTGTGGCTATAGCCTATGAACTTTATTCCCGACATTTCGACTTTTTACTTGAAGTGCTTAAAGGCTTTATATGTGATTTTTTAATCCAGCAGATGTCGCCCTTGAGCACCAGCATGAAACCAAAACAACTGGCGCTGCATTGTTGTGTTAGCATGCTAATGCTAGCGATCTTTATTCTGCTGGTATCTTCACACTGCATGTAAATTTACCTGAAATGAGTGTGATCTAGAAACACAGTTAAGCAGTGAGTACAGTATGTTATTCTTCTTTTCTCTAGTCCCTCAATTAAACAACTTTTATACACGAGGGGAGGAGTCAGCCGGCCGTCCGGGCGATGTAAACAAAGTGAAGATAGGACTCTGAAAACTCTGAAAACATCACAGACAGTGGGACTCGGGTGTTACACCCATTGTAGACAGTCATGACTCAGAGTTATTTTCAGAGGAGATACTTGATTTATATTATATTTAAGTGTGAAAAATCACATAGAAAGCCTTTAAGGATGAAAAAAAAAAATCTTCCTCATTTTATTGTTTATTTCTCATCACTTTTCCTCTTCCCCTCCTAACATAAAATAACCATGCAGTAGCCAACACTTCTGTCAGCACTAATAAGCCTCCATACAATAAGACTTATGTTATGATGCGTTAAAAGCATCAATTCCCTCCAGACAGACTGAGACCCTCAGCGGACAAAACATCGATTATCCTCTCAAATGTTGATCAATAAATCCACTAAAAGTGAAATAATATCGATTGTTTCTCCTGTAGCCTACCTCAGCGGGTGTCTTGTTTCCTCTTCATGGCGATTTTAAGGTTTTTTAATTGGTTTTAAACGTAGATGTGGTGACTGGTGATGGTAAACTAACTAAACGCGAACCCATGCCCGTCACTATGGCAACAACCGTTAAATATTAAATCCGCTTTTTACTCCAATGGAAACAATAAAAATGTCCATAAAACTCGTGTTATCGAGGGGGAAAATACTTTTCAGTCGTTGTGTAGATCTCTTCTTCACGGCAGTCTTTAAGGGAAGGTGCTGATGGAAATCTGAAGATAAAAGTTTAAAAGTTTGGCAAAAAAATATGCCAATCTCAGGATTTAAATCCGCCGTTAAATCTTGTAGTAAACTTTCACATTAACGTTACATGCTCACGTTTTCTGTAGGCTAAGCGCCAGTGTCATTTGTCCAACCTTCAGGTGTTTTAAAATAGGTTTAAAAACGCAAAAAATGGCGTTAAAACTGTTAGAAAAATCACATTCATCCTCCTTTAGGGATATTTTAACTTCCGCGGTTCTCCAAGGTGCTCAGTCATTCCAATCCAGATTAAATGAGGCTTTTAAATCCTGCAGGTTAAAGTCCGTTTTTTAAATGATTTGGTAGAGCTTCTGGTTTGCTTCCATAGTCCTGCAGGTGAATGCTCGTTTGCACCCGGTTCACTTTGTTGTAAATGATTCATCCGCAGGTAAATCAGAGCTGAACCGTGATTGCTGCTCCGGTTAGTCCTGCCGGCTGTTGCACTGATCAGACCGGACTGAATGCCAGCAGCCAGCGGTGTGTGTCTGGGCGGAGAGCACAGAGAGGAGGGGGGACGTCAAAGGGGGAGGAAGGAAGGAAGGAAGGAAGGAAAGTGAGAGAGGAAAAGAGAAAGAGGGAGGAGAGAGGTGCAAAGAGAAGGAAAAGAGAGACACCGTTTCAGAATGGCCATGAGAATATTGTTTTGTTTTTGTGTTCTTGCAAAGTGATGTATATTCAAAATATGAAATGCATAAAGCTTAAAACAATAATCATTAGCCAACCTCATGAGTCCATATGTCTTCAAATACACTGAAAAAAGAAAATAGTTGGACCAACTTAATTTAATTGTTTCAGTTGGTAACACCTAAATGAAATAAGTTCTTTGAAATTAAGTTAATAAGTTCAATTAACACAATTGATTAAGTCAAATGTACTTAATAATTTAATTGTTCTCAAATCAAAGTTTTGCATTAATCCAATTTAAAATTAAAGCAAGCCAACTTAAAGTTTTCAGTTTTTCTAACTCAATAATTTGCATAACCCAAAAGTAAATACTGCTCCTTTCTAACCTAATATAATGGTTTCATGAAAACTACTTTTTGTAGGAACCTTACAATGAAAGTTTAGTTTGTTTAATATAACTAAAATTACACTTTTAAGTTGGCTGAAAATATGAAAAAAACAACTCAAAATCTGATGGGGTTTTTTTTACACTTTATTGTATAAATGTAAATAACCATTAACTTTATGGCCACCAACACAGCTTTTGGGCCATCACATTACACATTTGTCCTTTTTAAAACACATATGCAGAAAATGCAGAAGTAACTGTTCATAGGAACACAAAGTTATTCTGTCAGCAAAATAGTGCAACAAAGTACTACACAAATATGTCTCACAGTCTCAACACAGTGTTATCACAACTATGGAAAAGTGCCAAGAGTGTACAGAAACCACATTAATATGCAATATTGCACATAACATTATTTATGTTTCTTTAGTGTTGTCATCACAGCTCCTGGAGTCCCACAAAGTAGTATTGTCGGTCTTAATATTCAGTTTATATAACAGCTGTAACAGTGTGTTTCAAATTGAGTCCTGCTGAGTTCCCTTTGCCCCCATCATGTTTTTCCTGCCATTACATTTTATTGCTGCGTATGTTATCTCAAGCTAAGCTCAAGGATTATCTCATTCCCATCATGGCTGTTGCCTTTACAAGCATCTCACAGATCAATAAAAGGGAATACCAACACGCAGTAAAAAGAGGAAGGACAACAGGAAGAACAGCGCTGCTCCAAACTACACCGTGGCTGTGATACAGCTGAATATCTTAATAGTTTATGGTTTAATTCAGGACTGTAGTAATCTCACAATATGTTCAGCAAACACTTTTCCACAAACACAATCATATCAGGTCAATAATCTACTGGCAGTAAAAAACATCTTCTCAGTTAACCCTTTGCAAGAATCTATATTTGCCAAAATGTTCAAGAGTTCTTTACAATTAGAAACTCCCTGATCATGAAAAAATACTGTTTACCCATGGACTTAAAATAACCACCGATTGGACCACTAGATTACCAAAAGGCTTTTCACTGACCATGAAAACCACTACCGGACCAGTGACCACCAGAACCTCATACTGGACACCTACAGAAGAACAATTAGAAATCTTGTAAAAAAACTTGTAAAAATGGACCCTTACAAATCACCTCAAGAATGGCACGTACTCAAAAGAGCAATTGAGACTTTAAAGAACCCTAGAAGTTCTGTTAGCTCCTTAAAGGCTTAATATGTGATTTTTCACACTAAATGTAGAACTCAAGTATCTCCTCTGAAAATAACTCTGTGAGTCATGACTGTCTACAATGGGTGTAACACCCGAGTCCCACTGTCTGTGATGTTTTCAGAGTTTTCAGAGTCCTATCTTCACTTTGTTTACATCGCCGGACGGCCGGCTGACTCCTCCCCTCGTGTATAAAAGTAGTTTAATTGAGGGACTAGAGAAAAGAAGAATAACATACTGTACTCACTGCTTAACTGTGTTTCTAGATCACGCTCATTTCAGGTAAATTTACATGCAGTGTGAAGATACCAGCAGAATAAAGATCGCTAGCATTAGCATGCTAACACAACAATGCAGCGCCAGTTGTTTTGGTTTCATGCTGGTGCTCAAGGCGACATCTGCTGGATCAAAAAAATCACATCTAAAGCCTTTAAGGAAAAAAATAAATCAGTGTCTTGAATCAAATATTGGATTTTCAAAGCTGCTTAATGTTAACCTGAACTCACTAAAGGACGATACATCTAAATCGGTGTTTCCCATCTAGTTGAGCCTCAGGACTAAAATCACCACCCAAATTTCTTAGATTTTTCAATCAATCATATTTATTTCAAGAAAAATGGTGCTCAGACAGTACAAAGCATGTTAGAACAAATAAACTGAAGGAAACAAACTTGTTGAAAAAGCACTTTATACATTTTTTGTACTGCATTTTTCCTCCAGGCGAACATTTTTGACCCACAAAAAAAGGCTCCAGGATCCACTTTTGGGTCCCGACCCCCCAGTTGAGAACCACTGATCTGAATGATAGCTAGAACCCCCACTTGAACACCCTGAAGAACCCTCTATAAAAAAAATGTAAATAATCCAAACATTAAATGTCATAAGTCGAGGATAAGAAACGGAGGAAAGGAACCAGAAAACTCAACAAGCTCATGGAAGGAATTCAGTTTCAGACTGGAAACAGGTGAACAGGAAGAAACATAGAACAGGGACAGGTGCAGCACCTGGACACTGACAGGGATTGCTGACGACATTTGCATCCATTAACCCTGACAATCTGCAGCACAGTGATCGGCCTATCACAGGTGAGAAGTTAGAAGCAGGAAGGAGGAGGTGTGTGACAAAGGACAGAAATCTCTGAGGACATCTGGTGGACAAAAGGGGAATGACATGCTCTGGAGCTTTTATCAGTGTATCAATCTGGAGATTTATTTTTTTTCAAAGCTAAACTGGTGTATTTGATTTGTCTCACAGTACATCCTGTCTTTGACTCTGAGCTTGAGGCTCATTGGTTCTGAATGAAAATGTTAATTCCTGTCCTGTTTTGCTCTATTTTTATGTTTTCAATGTTTGTATGTAATGAGATGAGATGATGAGATGAGATTCAACTTTATTGTCATTACACATATACAAGTATAGAGTAACGAAATGAGGTTTGGCATCTCACCAGAAGTGCAAATAAGCAGAAAGTGCAAGAGTCTGTGCTATGTACAGTAATTACAAAATTTACAGATGTAGACAAAAAAAGTGAATTATTAGGTAAATCTGGATGGCTGGATTAATGGGATGCAATAAATATAAATAATGCTATAAATAAGTAATGCTACAAAAAAGTGTGTTCTTAGGATTATAATATACAGATTAAGATGCAGTGAGCATGCTATACTAATAATATACAGATTAAGATGCAGTGAGCATGTTATACTAATAATATACAGATTAAGATGCAGTGAGCATGCTATACTAATAATATACAGATTAAGGTGCAGTGAGCATGCTATACTAATAATATACAGATTAAGTGCAGTGAGCATGCTATACTAATAATATACAGATTAAGGTGCAGTGAGCATGCTATACTAATAATATACAGATTAAGGTGCAGTGAGCATGCTATACTAATAATATACAGATTAAGATGCAGTGAGCATGCTATACTAATAATATACAGATTAAGGTGCAGTGAGCATGCTATACTAATAATATACAGATTAAGATGCAGTGAGCATGCTATACTAATAATATACAGATTAAGTGCAGTGAGCATGTTATACTAATAATATACAGATTAAGGTGCAGTGAGCATGCTATACTAATAATATACAGATTAAGATGCAGTGAGCATGCTATACTAATAATATACAGATTAAGATGCAGTGAGCATGCTATACTAATAATATACAGATTAAGATGCAGTGAGCATGCTATACTAATAATATACAGATTAAGATGCAGTGAGCATGCTATACTAATAATATACTGATTAAGATGCAGTGAGCATGCTATACTAATAATATACAGATTAAGATGCAGTGAGCATGTTATACTAGTTTACAGATAATATAAAGAATATGGACATAATATGAACATACTATAATACAATAATACAGATGGATGAGAGATGTGTGTGTGTGACCAGGAGGAGTGGTGGGGGGATGATGGGTGTGAGGTGATATGCAGGGGAAAGGGGGGTCAGCAGGGGGCGGAGAGAGAGAGGGAGAGAGAGAGAGAGAGACAGAGTTCAGAGTTCGGGGGGTAGAGTTCAGTAGAGAAACAGCTCTGGGGAAAAAGCTGTTCCTCAGTCTGCTGGTTCTGGTCCGGAGGCTTCTGAAGCGCCTGCCGGAGGGCAGGAGGGTAAACAGTCTGTGGGCAGGGTGGGAGGAGTCTTTAAGGATGCCGTGAGCTCGCCGCAGACAGCGTGTTCTTTGGACATCCTCAATGGCAGGAAGTGGACACCTTGTGATGCGCTGGGCGGTTTTTACCACCCGCTGTAGCGCCTTACGGTCTGCGACAGAGCAGTTTCCATACCAGACTGAGACACTGCTGGTCAGGATGCTCTCGATCACACAGCGGTAGAAGTTCATCAGTACAGCTGAAGACAGGTGGTGTCTCTTCAGTGTCCTCAGGAAAAAGAGGCGTTGATGAGCCTTCTTAACCAGACTGGAGGTGTTAGTGGACCAGGAGAGGTCCTCTGTGATGTGGGTCCCCAGGAACTTGAAGCTGGAGACACGTTCAACAGCCATCCCGTTGATGTGAATGGGGTTGTGCGTGCTTCCTCTTTCTCTCCTGAAGTCCACGATGATCTCCTTCGTCTTGCTGGTGTTGAGGAGCAGGTTGTTGTCAGCACACCAGGCGGCCAGATGCTGTACCTCCTCCCTGTAGGCCGTGTCATCGTTGTTGCTGATGAGGCCAATCACCGCCGTATCGTCCACAAACTTGATGATGGTGTTGGATC